GTTCGTTTAAAGGAGCATATGTATGACGTTAGTAAAGGGAACAACAACACTATCTTGGCAATCATGGCGCAAACAGATGGTGCAAGTGTTAAATGGGATGAGGCACGAATTGTTAAACCGGTCCATTCTCCGACTATTGCCTTTGGCATAGAAAAAATGGAGATTTATAAGAGTAAGATAAATAGCAAGTGTCTAAACGCCAAGGATGCTAATGCTCTTCCAACGGCATGGAAGTACATAATAGAAAAGGAAATGGGGATTAAAAACCCGTAAAATTATGGCAGTTGTGTATTACTGGTTTAATGTATATTTTTGTTATAGTAAGCTTTATATTTTTTTATATATTTTTATTATTTTTTATATTATTTATGTTTATCATATAATATGTTAAAATTTTTTAGTTAAATATTTAATGGTTTACGGTGATATTTAAAAATATGTTAAATAGTTAATAGTTACAGTTTATGTTAAAAGTTTAAATTTAAAAGTTATTCGAAAGTTGTATTCGAATAGTTCTTGAAGATGGCCTATTGAAATTGGGCTGAAAACGTTTGAAATTAAAGTAATAATAAGCTCAGCAAGAGTTTGGTGTTTTGTTTATATTTGTAAAGATACGGCTGAGGAAGTAAGAATAGCTTTATCACACACTCTTGTTAGGACCTTGTAACTCGAAAATGAAGTCATGGACTCCATTTTTTATTTCATTTTTTGATTCTTCATAGTAACTAATGGAAAAGGCAAAGTTCTATCAAAATCAATCAAACAGATTTTGAGAACTAATGCAATTCTATAATTCACATAGAAGAATCTCTGCTAACGTTCTGTCTCAATTAGGGCTTATGTCATATATAGCAATTCATAATAACATCCACTCAAAACCTGATTTAATTGATTAAAGCCAAATGATCTGCTGAATTATTCTCCTACTTTTGGATTATGTTAATTATTAGTACGAATTAATTTTACTAGCTATAGGTGAATATGTGACATTGCATATTAATTTAAATAATTATAATAAATTAATTTTTTATTTAGAAATTGACTAGTAGCCCAAAAACAGCCTGATAATTTGGCAGATCATTTGGCTTTAATTTGTAGCCTATATAGTATAATGTAAATGCTAATATAAAAATTTATATTATGATAATTTCCATTTAAATCAAGCATAATGTTTGGTTTTTAGAGTTACTTTTAATTCATAAATTATTTTGAAATATAGTTGAATCCTGTATGATGCGGGGTATACGTGCCACATAATAGGAAATCACGTTATCAAGACATGCATTATCCGACAATTTTATGCAAGTTAAAACCTGGGCTTAGAGACTGAAGAAGTCAACGTATACCTCTGGACGACAAAATTAAAATTTTGTATGAGTACTAATTGCAATTTTTTCATAGCATTATATGAATTTGTGTTATAGGGGAGCACGTTATACGAGAGTTCACTATATGTATAAATCTCTGTTAGTCAAGGTAATTTTTGTGAATGCTAAAATTTATCAAGGATATTATTGATTAGATTGGCCTTAATACATTTTGACAATGTAGCCTTACGCTTAGTAAATTTGAATAAAGTACATTAATGTGAATATATGAACAAAAAATATCATAAGTTTTTAAAGTGATCTTGCCAAATATTGAATATAATGTAAATATTTTTCAAGAAATTCTTTAATTTAATAAAGAGAGAGTTAAAACTTTTTAATGAAATTTAAATTTAGCTACAGGATCCAGCTTTATCATTTCTACTTTATAAATTACTAACTACTTCAAGCTTATTGATTTAAGTAATAAATTTTTTATCTCCCAAATAAACAGTTACAATTAGAATATTTGATACTAACATGTTGTGACCATTGCTAATTAATTAATAAATTTATTAACGACAGCTAACGCAATATGATTAGTATTGAGTTATCTAATCGTCGACTATTTGTTTATTCGTAAAATTATTAGACGAACATAAATTATATAATTCAATTGACTCGTGGCATCTAGTGTGTCTGTTTAGTTGTCATCACTTAATATTTTTTTAATATATCGTCTCGAATGTAACAAAATTTGAGACAAAGGCTCTATTATAATTTTGTAACAAAGTTAAACTGTGAGAACTCTTTGTCAAAGCAAATTTTATGGTTTACAGTTTCAATACAGTCTTTGTTTTAATTTGTAAAGATTGTAGAAAGATTTCGAACTGTTATGATTTGTTAAAGTAATGCTAAGATTAGTTATCGCTAGGAGATTTTGGTTGCCGATTTTAATTAATTACATCAATAACAGCTTTTTAGTATAAAAGTGTAGAAATTCTAAAACCAAAACTTAGTAATAGTTGCAATATATTCTTGCAGTTTTTGTTTGTTTATAATATTTTTTTGATAATTATTATGGTCAATCGTAAATCTAAGTTTCAAGATTATTTTTGGTTATATTTTAGGTTAATTAAACGAAATTTGTCTTAAAAGGTGGGTGATTAAGCTGCTGTATCGTGCTAAGATTAATTTTTAATTTTAATTAGATAATTTAGAATGATTTGGAGCAGGACTCGGTCTCGCAACTATGCTTATCCAAAAATAATCTGGGAAATTAAAGAACCTGCACATTGCCGGAAATTAAAAGTCAGTTGGAATGTTAATTTGATTAATTTTTTTTATAGGTACTTTAATGTAAGCTGATTAGCTTTATCTGTTAAATCTTCAAGTATTAAGTAGTACACTTTGAAAAGAACATAGTTTAAATTTCTTTATAGTGCATCTGATATAACAATAATTCAGCAATTTAGATTTGTAATTGGTTATAGAATTTGGATTTTTGAATATGCTATATGTATTTTAATTTTATAATTAGGTTTGAAATGCAATTTATTTATGCTTTTTTGACTGTTTCTGTTTAAATAACATGTTTGTGTGCACGCATGCATGTGAAGGGGGTGTGTGCACATGTACATATTCACTTTTGTTGAGAATAAATAATGTATCAACAAATTTTCCTCTGTTAATCAATCAATTATTGAATATTTTAAGATAATAATAATAAAATTGAAAAAATTCATGTATTTTTATAATTTTATTGTTAAAATTCTAGATTAAATAATGTAAAATATTTATAGAATCAGTGTGATTCTTTCATTGTTTAGAGTAGTGAATTTTTGAATGTTATTCTTTAAAGAAATATGCTATGAATAATAAAAATATTAAAATAATGCTTCGGTAGGTTAAAATAAATATTAAAACACAAAAATAGGTAAATATGGACGCATCTTATTGCTTTCAACCCGATAAAAATATCCTGGATCAAACACAGTTGCCATAGAGGCAGACAGGTAGATGAATTGGTTGCTATAGTTACAAAAGTAACAACATAATGTGCAAGATATTAAATGAAAATATGGTATACAATATATGAGTATTAACAAACGAAACATAAATTATTAGAAGGTTGTGAGTTGAACACGATTCAATAAAGTGAAACTAAGATGTCTTCGTACTTTATACTCCATTAAAATACATTTTTTAAAATAATTATTGTGTATAATCTAATTAATTGTAAAGAAAACTGTAATCATTTGCTATAAATATTAAATTTTTGAATTAATTTTTATATTAATACTGTAGAGCTTTGTTTATTCTGTGGGTCTTTGTTTAATTTTTAAAAGAAATTTTGCGACGATTTGACACTTCCTGATGTCGCCATTTTTATTTTTTTTTTAATTTTATTTTAATGCAGAGAATAGTTACAAAACAATTTTTAAAATGATAAAATGATGATTTATAGAGTAAATATATAATAACTATTTTTATTTTTCGACAGACATATGTTGCAAATATTTTAATAGCAGTAAATCCGTACTTTGAAATAAAGAATTTATATTCAAGATCGAAAATCGAACAGTATCAAGGAAAATCTCTCGGTGTTCTTCCACCACACGTTTTTGCAATAGGTGAGATACGTTTAAGTAATTATTATGATTAGAAAATATAAATAATAATTATTTATTCTATCCATGACAACATAATATATCTTTTTGAAAATACAAAATTTAGTTTAATAATGAAGAAAATAATTAAAAACACAACTTAAACACACAAACATTACTCTTTAAAAGCTTCCTTCCATTTAAATAGCTTTGAAAAAGTCATCATGGCCTTCTCTTGTTGGTTGAAGGTCCGGCCGACAAAAATCTGCTCGATGGCAATATATAATAATTAAAATTACTAAAAATTTTGGAAGAAAACATGAAAAATAAATAAATACTTTAATGGTGTTTATGTAAATTTACATGATAAATATAACACAAAAATTGCCATTTATGCAGATGAAAGGTTAATACTTACCAAAACAAATTACTAAAAATCAAAACAGTTTGTTTGTTACAAAATTCATTGAGCTGTGAATATGATTTTAATTTATTTTAATTGCTGTTTTGATTTGTTATACCAAAATGGAGATCTTAAGAAACCTAAAACTGCAAGAATGCTCAGATTTTAAAAACTTATAATCTATTCACTTTTGAAATTTATATATTTGTCGTTAAATAAAAATTTGAACTATAAATATTTGGGTGAATTTTTACCTCTTTCGATGAATGGAATAAAGAGGAAAATGCTTCTTTTTACTTTTTAATTGCAGATAAATTTGTTAATGCTCCAAGGTTATGTAGCCCACTGGTGGTCGAATGGATAAAACTGTCAAACACCGGTAGTTTTTTGTGGGTTTACACCTTGCCAACGGGCTGGCCATGTGGAGTTTTCTGGGTTTTCTTTGTATTAGTAACACCTAAATAGGAGTCAGTTTCCCATAAAATACCTCTATGAGGGGCATCTCCTTGGCGTCCATTTGTTGTGTTGCCTATACGAATAAGTCATAAACCAAGGGCATGTAATGATCTCTCTGAGTAATATGAAAAATATTTAAATAAAAATAAAAGTCATAAATATAATAAAAAACAACACAATATATAAATACAAATAAGAGAATAAAGTACAAAATGGTAAACAAAATTTATAAGTTTTTACAGAAGAAAATCTGATAAAGCATTTGTATCTTGTTACACAATGTAATTTAATAAAGTATACAATGTTTCATATGTTATTTCAATCAGATTAAACTACTACTTTTTAATTAGAAAGTTACAATAAGTTATAAGTTTCTTCATACATTTACATCAACTGACAATGAAGCAATTAGTAAAGAACAAAAATGATAAATCTAAGGTTACTATTTTTTGACAGTTGTCCTATTGAGCAATAACAACTGCAGAAATTTGGCTTTGATAATGAATTTAATAAAAATAATTCTTACTTGATAAAACAGATGCTTTATCTTTTCTTATAAACTTGATAAAACAGATGCTTTATCTTTTCTTATAAACTTGATAAAACAGATTCCTTATCTTTTCTTATAATTTGACACACAACAATCAAAGACTATTCTGATAGTTATTGTTTTGTAATGATTATATGCCACGCTTTGAATAATAAGACACTTTATTATCCAAATGTGATAGCTGAGTTTCTGATGACTATAGAGTCTAGTTTGTTATTGTTTGGTTTAACTTAATTAAAGCACCTTTAACAGTGGTGAAATATGAATGATGCTAAGATTTCTGGCTTGGTAAATTGGACATTCTCATGCATAGACAATTGAAAGTGGAATTTAACTCTTTTGATAAATAAATAAGGAGAAACAGAACTTCTTTTTGGTTTTTAATTACAGACAATTTTCTGAGGTTAGGTAAAGACCTGGCTGAATAATACAACAACAAACAAATAATAAATTGTATTCCATTTTCACTTTTGACTTTTGCCTGAAGATGGACCATTAACTGGAGCAAAAACATTGGCATTATTCATATTTAACCATCCTAGTATTCAACATAACTGGGCAAATTTTCATTAACAGCACACACTCAAACTTTGTGATAGTATGGTCTAATGCAAAACAAGTGGTTAGAAATAAGTGATGGCAGATTGAGATGTTTCTTAGAAGGAATAGAAAATGATTTTTCTGTGTTTTTCTTATGTGAAATAAATAAGTGAAAACATTTAAGTTATTGAAGGTTATAGCATCTTGGGCTATCTTACATAGACAAGAATTTATGATTATAGTGACTTGCATAGCTGGTGAACATCTACAATGTCATACCTACCTCTTACGGCAATCACGAGAGACCAACATAATGTCATTTTTAATGACACTATCAGAATGGAAAATTGCCACCTTATGCACATGATTATGTGACAATAATGAAAAACTTTATGCAATCATAGGCATATGGAGGCAGTTTTTCAAGGTTGTGTGATGAGCAAAGAAAATTAGTTTACATAGTTAGATGGATAGACACAGTTACCCAGTTAGATAGCACATAGCATGAGGATATTGTGGAAGCATAGTTGATTTGGAAAAAAATTCCACATAAAAACTAGTAGATGCAGAAAATGTCCACTGCTATGGATTAATACATGTATTGAAAATTTATTCTTATTTTTCTTGACAGCCGACAAAGCCTTTCGAGACATGAAATGCTGCAAACAGAGTCAATCGATTATCGTCAGTGGAGAATCGGGAGCCGGAAAGACTGAATCAACCAAATATATCTTAAGATATCTTTGCGAATCTTGGGGAAGTCACGCTGGTCCGATAGAACAACGGATATTGGATGGTTTGTAAAAGTTTAAGCTAAAGCAATAATTAAAGAAAGTTTACTTTTTTACCTGTAACTCTAAATATATTGTTTTTATAAGGAAATATAGAATTTTTATGTCATTATGAATACTAAATTAAAATTCTTAGATTAATTATGAATATTTGAATTAGAATACAAGATTTATTTTTATTAAATTCTAAACAGCTAATCCAGTACTTGAAGCATTTGGTAACGCGAAAACCATGAGAAACAATAACAGTAGTCGATTTGGAAAATTTATCGAAATCCATTTTAATGGAAAGGTAATATTTATATTTAAGTAAATAAATGTTTACAGTAAATTTAGAATTGTGTGTAAGGTTAATTGAATAATTAATCCTGTAAATTTACAGTGTTATAGTTCTTTAAAACTTTAAAATTGTTCTTTTAAATTATTGTAATTTTGGACAGATAACCTGTGGCAGCATACACTCAGCAGAAAATTTCACAAACAAAAATAAAATCTTTGTATAATTTTTTACTATACGAGGGCTGTTCGGAAAGTTCGCGGCCTTGCCTATATGCGGCGCTGTGATCAATTTAATTTTTGGCGGGAATAATTCAGCCATCTTTGCTAAAGATATGATACCAATTTCCGCTTGATTTGTCAAAAAGTTTTGCCACGACAGCTTAGCAGATAGTCAGTGTTCACATGCTTTGTCAAAAATGGAGAAGACGGAGACTCGTGCAGTCATAAAATACCTGACAAAAAAAGGGTTGACCCCATCTCAAATCAAAGCTGACATGGATGAAGTTTTAGGAGAGTCTGCTCCTTCGTACACCACTGTGAAAAAAATGGACAGCCCTTTTTAAATCTAGCAGAGAAGTGTGGAAGATGACCTTCGCAGCGGATGGTCGTCAACTGCTGTCACTGAAGAAAACATCGACAAAGTTCACGATTTGGTATTAGCAGATCGCCGTTTGAAAACGCGTGAGATAGCTGAGACAACAGGCATCTCTGTCGACCGAGTGCACCACATCCTAACCGAAGATTTGGGTATGACGAAGGTCTCAGCAAGGTGGGTGCCGCATCTGCTGACCGCCGAGCAAAAACGTGTTCGCACTTTGATGTCAAAGGAGTGTTTGGACTTCTACCAGAAAAACCCACAGGATTTCTTGCGTCGGTTTGTGACTACTGACGAAACGTGGATCCATTACTACACTCCTGAAACAAAAGAACAGTCGAAGCAATGGAAACACCACAGTTCGCCACCACCAAAGAAGGCAAAGACAGTTCCATCAGCGGGTAAAGTGATGGCCTCGGTTTTTTGGGATGCTAAAGGCATCATCTTTATTGACTACCTAGAAAGAGGAAAGACCATTAATGCTGTCTATTACTGTGAACTTTTGGAAAAACTGAAGAAAGAAATCGAAGAAAAGAGGCCACACTTGAAGAAGAAAAAAGTTCTGTTCCACCACGATAATGCACCTGCACATTCCGCCAGAATCACTGAACAAAAGATAAACGAACTTCGCTTCCAATTAGTTCCACATCCACCGTACTCACCTGATTTGGCCCCCAGTGACTTCCACCTTTTTCCAAACCTAAAAAAATTCTTGGCTGGAAAGAGATTCCACTCAAATGACGAAGTCATCTCTGAAGTGAACAAGTATTTTGCACACCTTGACAAATCGACCTATTGTGATGGCATAAAAAAGCTAGAACATCGCTGGAATAAGTGCATTGCTAACAGAGGAGATTACATTGAAAAATAAAAAAAGTTTTAACATTATTTTGTTTGTTTTTCTATGTGAGGCCGCAAACTTTCCGAACAGCCCTCGTATATCCTGCACTCCTGGGTGGCCATTGAAGACAAGACAATTACCAGTATGCAGTTTACCATATCAAGCATTAAAATATTGCTTTTTCTGTTGTTTTTTTTTATTAATAAATCATTGCAGATACACATAAACAACCAAGTCCAAATATTCTGTAATAATAATAATAGTTTTCAGATTATTCAGACTCTAATTTGGCTAACCATTAATAATTGGTATAAAATGATTTTTTTCTAAAGGTAGGCAGTTAGACTGCTATCTTCTGCTAACATTAACTAATAATTACAATGATTTTTGAACTAAATTTAATATTTTTATTTAATAATTAATGAAATTGAAACTAAAGATTACATTTTTTTCAGACACCATGAAGTATTGATGCTAGACACTGGATTTTTTCACATACACTTTATTTTCTTATGTACTTTACAGTCTTTAAACTAAAGATTACATTACCATTTTTGGTTTATTTTTTTAAACTTTGCAACATAGAAATCCATTTTACATTAATCAAACTAACATTCGTATAAATTTAAAATATTAAATAACTTTCAAGTACATGTTAGCCAAGGCAAAGCTTAGTCACTTATATATACAAGCACACACTTGTGTATTATCTTTTCCCAGTTGTATTATCTTATTTATGGATCAGTGTATACTGATACAATGATAATGTAGTGATCATTATCATTGTATCAGTATCGTATATCTTACAAGCAGTAATGCCTTGTAAATCCTGTTAACTGTATTATTAATCAATTATAAGCAATTGCAATAACTATATGTATAACAAGTAGACATATGTATATGTTACTGTGAATGACCAATATCTGGCGAATGTCAACATTCACACAGTTGTTTCATGTAGGTATGAAATATTTGCTAAATATCGTTATTTCTCACTTACACCAGTAAATATCAACATTCAGCATGCACTGATGGTGAATGTTGAATAAAAATATTTTTATTACGTTTTAAGACAAAAATGCAACTTTTTAATATGTCAAAATAGGAAAAAGCTTAAGTAACAGCACATATAAATAAACTGTTGAACCTAAAATGAACAGTACATTCTAAATCATTAAAGAAAATAATAGAATAATAAACTTACACATAAATTATATGATTAACATTATACAATCTTATTTATTGCAACAACTTAAACTGTTATGGCAGTTTGAATTGCACAAGAGTCCCTTACTTTTACAACTACATTTATTCATGGAACACTTCTTTTTGCAACGACAGCTTGTATAGCCTTGCCTTCCACTTTTCAAATTAGCTACAGCTGCTTCTCTCAGTGATACTTCTTCAGAAGAAATCTCATCTATGAAAAGTAACTTTTCTTTACAAATTACAAACTGATTACATTATTATGTGATTACAAATTGATCTGTTAATGATGTCTTTTATTCGGATATTGCCGACGCCTTGCTGATGACCCCTCTCATCCTCTGCCACTCGACCTGACAAACCGATCCCCACCTCACGGGATCAAAAGAACAAAAACACCATCCAGTGACAAAGTGGGTGGATTCCATCAAACTGCTGCTGGGGAAAGGATTTGGCGACAGACTGTTGTCTCTCTGTCAACATCAGCTTCTCTGGTGTTGTTTCGACCTCCACCGAAGCTTATCTGTGCTTGTCGACATACATCAGCGATTGTTCGAATGTATAATGATATAACCAAATATTCAGTCTTTCATCGACGTATTTTGTATGTGTCGACATTCACCGGAGAATATTGACATTCTCTAATTTTGGTCTTTCACAGTAACATATATATACATAAACATATTCTATGACTATATGTAATACAGTTGTTAAGATATAAAGTTACATTTTATATCAATAATCTATGTCATAACACAGGTCTGCAAGTAAAAAACTGCATAGGATTTTTATACATTTTCTTGCAGATTTCAACTTGGTAAAAATGAAAAAATACTAAAAAAATTCCATCTCGTAAATTTTTTTTTTGTTACAGTCAAGTTTTTGTTTGTATTTTGTGTAAAATTCCTACTTAACTTAAAATTTAGTTTTTTTTTATATTTAAAAAATGGCCTTAAAACAAAGACTTCTCACATTAATTCTATCAATTATATCTAGACTTGGTAATAAATAAATAAAAATGTTAAAATAATAAATTCTAAAAAATTTTATTTTAAAAAATTCTTTAAGAAATGACAAGTGAAATTCACTTTTTTAAATCCGATTTCGATAGAATTAAAAACAGAGATGGACTAGAAACTTATTTAGTATTTCTCACTTTATTTTTCTTTTTTTAATCCATATATATTTTGCTTATCAGCCTCATCAGTGGACTTTACAATCTTACATTGCCAATACTTTTATGCTCTATCAAGCTATCCCAGCATACATCAACACATGCGCCGGTATTTAAATTAATACAATTTACATATCCTTTGATACAGTAATGTTCTATAACATGTCTTTTTACAAGATTTTTTACTTTGTACAATATTTTAATATTATTTCAGTCAATAATACAGTTTTTTATACTGCAGTGTCGTTGCCACGGGGATTCGGTTCTGTTTAGTCGGATTGCCACCTCATGCTCTTTCAGTCTCACTTCAAGTTTTCTTCCTGTTTCTCCAATATAATATTTCTGTTCTGTACATGTACACATCAGCCTGTGTACGACTCCTGCTACTTCTAAAGGATTTTTCAATTGTTTCTCATTTGCTTTGTTAATTAAACAGATACTCTTGTTTAATCTATTTCTCTGTTCACCTACTAAGTTGACAAAAAATAATTCTTTAATATAATTTTTATATTTTTCATAAAATTTTGAAATATACAGTATTTTAATATATAAATTTTCCATTTTTTTATTTTTGACATTATATCTATTATTAATATAAGTATTATACCACTTATGTATAAGCTGTTGTGGATAATCATTTAATAAATATTTTTTAAAAAGGTTCTTAGTCTCTATTTCAATTTATTTTTTTAATGTTGTTCTATTAAATATTTTTCTTAATTCCATCAAAAATACATTTCGTTTTATTCCCATAGGACAATATGATTTATAATTAATCACCTTACTATTATTGCATATTTTTTCGTACTTACGAAACAGTAATGTTTCATTTTGTCTTGTAATTGTGACATCTAAGTAATTAATTTCATAGTTTCTTTCTTCTTCGTAGGTAAATTTGATGTTAAAATTTAAACTACTTGCGTAAATCTTGATATTTTCGGCTGTGGTGTCGTTTGAGTCATACAAAATTAATATGTCATCCACATATCTAGTATAAAAAACAATACCTTGAAACTGGAAGATTTTTTCATCTAATGATGCCATACAAATGTCTGCAAGTTTTGGTCCGACCACTGATCCCATCACTATTCTGTCTCTTTGATGATAATGTTCTGTAGAGATTTTAAAATAATTATTTTTAAAAGTAAACTGTATAAATTCTAAAATGTGACAAGGTAAATTATATTTACTTAAACTTTCTATGATAAATTTCCAGTTTATTGAAGGATACATAGATTTCACATCCAAACTTAGGAATCTATAACTTTTCTTACTTTGACCATGCATTAATCTTGAGATCAACTGATCTGCATTTTTTATGGTATATTTGGAGTCTGTATACACTGCAAGTAATTTTTTATATAATGTTCCAAATTATATAGTACTGAGTATTTAAAATCTACTAATGGTCTAAAAATCTGTCCCATCTTGTGGGCTTTAAGTCTAATATTAAGTTGTGGAATACGTACATTATTAAAATTTACTATCTCTTAAAATCTTGACTTGTAAACTCTTTTCTATATGTTTTCATTAATTTAATTAGTTTCTTTTTAATATCTTCTATTGGATCACTGGGTAAAACTTCATATTCATCTGTAGCTACTATTTGTTTTTTCTTTTGTTGTAAGTCTGAATTTTTAATAATTATAAGTGCATGAGATTTATCTGCTGTTTTAATAGAAATTTATTTTTAAAAAACATAATTAATCTATTTGTTTTTTATTAATTTTAATTGCCTTTTTATCTAATATAATTTTTGTATGCACCTTTTTTTTAAAGAAAAATTTTTTAGAATTTATTATTTTAATATTTAGAATAACCGATCCCATTGCTTTATTANATAAGTGCATGAGATTTATCTGCTTTTATAATAGAAATTTGTTTATTTTTAAAGAACTTAATTAATTTATTTGTTTATTTATTTATTTTAATTGCCTTTTTATGTAATATATAATTTTTGTATGCACCTTTTCCTTTATATTATTGAAGATCTTTACTTAAATTTTTTCTTAACTGATTTTTATCTTCTTGTTTTCCTGAGATTCGTTGGATAATACTTTCTATTTCAGCCATAACTTCAATTGTTTTTGTAAATATAGGTAAATTCATATTACTTCCATATGATAATAAATGTAGATAATCTTCTGGTACTTCAACGTCTGTTAAATTTATAATTAATTTTTTTTAACCATTCTTCTTTCTCTGCAGTTAAAGGGTAATCAAATTTTTTATTTAATTTGATATTCTTTTTAATATTATATTGATCATTTTTATTAATGTTATTTTCATCAATATCATTATTTCCAATATTATTATTTCTCCTTTTAAATTAAAAGTTTTTAGACAATAAGAATATTTGTTTACCTTTTTTCTTTATTACTGATTTAATAATTAATCTCTCTATTTTAAATATACCTCCATACCAGATGCTGGACTTAATAGATTCTGGCAACTGTAACGTTGTACGAGTTTGTTGTTCACGTAGGAAACACTTAAAATAATTTCTATCGACCTTCAATCTGGCCATCTGCTGCTTCAACTCTTCTATTCTCATTTTTCTGTTCATAAAACTCATTAAATAGTAAATAAATAATAAAACAATGGGATTGGTTATTCTAAATATTAAAATAATAAATTCTAAAAAATTTTATTATTATTTTAATATTTAGAATAACCGATCCCATTGTTTTATTATTTATTGTTAATGGTTGAAGAGAGTAGTGGTAGGGGGAGGTGGGTTAAGTAGTTTTAGCATTAGGAGGACGGTCACATAATCATATAGAAACAAGTTAAAAGTTGATAGTGAGTAATATTATTGGTAAGGTTGAGCATGTTTTGACATGCTATCTGGGATATTAGGAATAAATATAAACAACCTGCTGTTGGATTAGAACATGTTTCAACAAGCTAAATAAGTTCAGGTATCTCGCTGGCCATCCAATGCCACACTCAGTTTATATCCAGCATTTGAACGCTACTGTGCTTGTATTTTTATTTCTGGAATATGGCTCACAGAGGTTGTGTAATTTCTCCCGACAGCTTATATTATGTTTGTGGTGAATACACAGTGAAAAGTCAATAAAGAAACATGAGTGAGTTTGCGAATAAAGTTTAATTTGCGTATTTCAAATTGAAACTTGGAGATCAAGACAAAGCAGATTTTTGAAAACAATGGGAAAAAAAGGAAAAAGCAGCATGGGACTCTTTGAAGAATAAATATAGTGCATAAGTTTTTGGGGAATACTAAGGACCCTGACTACAAAACCATTGTACAATACATGCTGGCAGCAGCGTATGAAGCTCAAGGATGCAAGATGAGCTTAAAAGTTCATTTCTTACACTCCCATATTGACTATTTTCCCGAAAACTTGGGAGCCTACAATGAAGAACAGGATGAAAGATTTCACCAGGATGTCCATGATATCGAGAGATGTTACCAAGGAAAATGGGATGTCAATATGTTAGATCACTACTGTTAGATGCTCAATCAAGAAAACAGAGAAGGAAATCGGAAACGAGTTTGGAGAAGCATAAGAAAAAAGAGTAGACCTAAAATTATGTATAAATATCAGAAACAATTTGTTGATTAGTTGTAAGAAAATATAATATATTTAGTTCATTGTAATAAATAAGACTTTTATCAAAAATTTGTTTTTATTTTGCAAAAAACCTTTACATGATGGGATGTAACAGAAGTTATTTTAGAATTTGTGATCTTTAAAGCATATAATTCAGCAAAAATATTCCATGCAGCTGGAAAAAAATTTTCTGCAGACCTGTGTAATTTTTACTGTATATAGTAGTCTCTCAATTTAATGGACTAATTGGGGAAGGGATGTCTGCTGTCAACAAAAGTCCAGTAAAATGAGTGCATTTTATAAACATTATATTAATAATAACCTTACAATTTACAGGATGTATTAAAATGTTGTTATAATGAACATTACTCAATGAATATAATTTCAGTTTTCTGTTGTTGGAGGTCACATAAGTCATTATTTATTGGAAAAATCGCGCATATGTGGACAGAGTAAAGGGGAAAGAAACTATCATATATTTTATCAATTATGTGCTGGTGCTCCCGATTCTATTAAACAACAATTAAAGCTTTCGAATCCCGATTCTTTCGAAGTAAGTATTTACAGTAATAACTTGAATTATTTTAAATATCATACTAATATATATATATATATATATTCANATATATATATATTTTTTTCTTTTTAGTATTTGAATAAGGGATGCACTCAGTATTTTTGTTCAAAAGAATCGAATAAATTAATTAATGCCAGCTTTAAGTCAAAGGAACATCAAAAAAAGGGGCCACTTAAAGATCCAATGTTAGATGATTATCATGATTTTCAAAATATGGATAAAGCATTAAATCATATGGGTAAGTTAATGTTTTATCATTATTTCTAATGTGAAGTACAATGTTTTTTACTGTTAGAATCAGATATGTATTATTCCAGAATTATGGATGGCAAATTATACAAATATTAAATTCTGCAGGTAGGTTTGTATATTAGGGTATCAATGCTATTAAATTTTGGTGGTTAAAGGTCGAGGGGGTAGAGAGATAAAGGTCGTGTGTCTCGTATCTGGAGTAGGGTCGGACGTAATGGTGATTTTACTCGTTATTAGCATTTAGTTTTTTTACAAAACCCAGCTCCATCCTCAGAATTAAGCTTTTTGCCATTTTATAATAATTAAAAATATAAAAAGTTTTAAAATAAAATATCATAACAATTGGTGCCACCAAATGTTGCTGGAAAGTTAAGCAACTTGCTGCTGGTTTTTTAAAGATTATTTCAAGAATATGAACAACTAAATTCATTATTTAATTAAAAATTTGATAACTTTCTGAATTCAAAATTTTAAAATTTCTGAAAGTTATCTAGGATTTAATAGTTTTAAATTAAATTTTAATTTTAAATTTGTCTCTCCTGCTTGGCTTTTTCCAAGTACTGTTATGTGTTGTTATTATTTATCTTATAATATACTTCTGTAATTCCTCTAGAAAATGTAATGTGTTCTCCCATTTTAACGCAATCCAATTAATGTATGCTACACACCATTGTATTTCCTGTTTCTATAAATAGTTCCTTATAATCCTTGAATAATGGGATTCTGCTTATCTGTTATTTCATGCTAATTTCTTTTCCATATTATTTCTTTCTTAGTGACAGATTCTGATGATTCTCTTCATTTTTTTTTTTAACTACTTTTATTTTATTTTTCATTAATATTCCTTCTTGGTTGTTTGCTAAAGCTTATCAAATACAAGGGTCTTCCAAAAAGAATGCTACCATTTTAAGTTATTGTAATTATGTTAATTATTACTCAAGAGCATCGTAATGTATATTAAAACATTTGAAAACTGTCCTAGTTTTACATTTTCTCATTATAATCTCTCAGTGCTTGCACCTCATGTGACATGAGACATGTTTGATCGATACTCAAATTCTTCCCATACCTGCTATGGCATATCTGTTATTGCTTCTCCCATGGCAGCCACAATTCTGTAGCTCCTACAGCTTACGCATATTGCACAGTGACAATTGATTCTGACTTAGCAAATTGCAGAAGGCAAAACACCTTATGCCAAGAAGTTGCCATTTTCACTTATGGCGCTTCCGTGAAGTTGTAGATGATTGAATGTGGTTGGAATATGAAACTTGAATAGTTGCTCTATTGATTGATATATGTTATATACTTCTCATATATTAATTAACATAATTACAGTAATTTAATATGGTAGATCTCTTCTTGGAAGACCATATATATTCTTGTCAAATTGTTTAAATGTGAACAAAATTCATTTCTTTTAATTTATTCTAAGCTAAACCCAAATGAATTAAATGCCATCACCTTATGTTTATCATTTAATTTGGTGGTCATAAAGATAATTTTTATCTTTTTTTTTCTCTATATTCTTGCAGTATTTGGTTTCTAATCTTTTCTCGTAACATCCAAATAGACTTTCTTTGTATTCCTCTGTTCCAATCTTAAATGCTAAATTTAAGGTTTTGCTTGCCATTCTCTTCCAGAATTTCTCATTCAGCATTCTTGCTTTACTGTACGACTATATCATCATTGACAAAACATTTATATAATCTTACCCATTGTTTAATTTCATTCAAACTGTTTTATGACTAGATCAACTTTCTGGTAAAGTCTTTGTTGTAGACAAAATAATTGACCATATAAGATTATGTAAATGCAATGTTAATGATATTATAGAAATATTGTAAACAAGAATGTCACATAATTTTCAAGGAAAGGATGATGATCAGATTAAATATTGGATGTCAATTTAAAAATAACATTTTTTTATTTCTTAGGTGTAAATGATGATGAACGTCTTTCAATATATAAGATCGTTGCAGCTGTCTTACACATTGGAAATTTATGTTTCGATGATAATTCAGATGACTCTAAAGGTGGTTGTTCCATGTCTGACGATTCAGAACAGTCTTTAAATATAGCTGCTTCACTCATGGGGGTTGATCCAGTCGATCTCCGTCAGAGTCTCCTTAGTCGTGTCATGCAGACGAGTAAAGGCGGTGCTAAAGGAACCATTTATATGTATGTATCTTTACATTTTATGACTTAAATTCTATGTGCACATTTTATAAATAATGAAAGTGAGTTTAAGTAAACAAGAAATTTTTTTTTGACCTTTACTTGGAGTAAGTTTGGCCCGAAAGTTGGTTTTGAATTTTGAATGCCATTTTGCAAAAGAAAGCAATTATCTAGCATATGTTTACCAAATGGTGCAATTAAACAGTAAAGGTATTAAAATAATAGATTGTATTATTATTTCTTTTATTTGTTGTAAATGTAAGAATAAAATGTTTATTAATGTAGCAAAGAATAATAATTAAATTAGTATTAATAAAAATCAGATTTTGACATTCTAGTCATATTTAACATAAAAAAATTAAAGTTTTCATTTGAAATTTTCAAGTTTTCACTTCTAAAATTATACTGCATTAAATTATTAATCAGATATTTCTGTTTTTGAGTATTATATTTTGGTATAATAATAAAAAAATTAATTTTAAAAGAATATAATAAAATTTAAAATTATCTTATATTTATTTGGCATTTTTATTAATTTTTTTCATTCTTTTTTTTAGGGTTCCTTTAAAGGTCCACGAGGCACAGAATGCACGTGATGCTTTAGCCAAAGCCATGTATTCTCGTTTGTTCGATTACATTGTGCATCGCATAAATCGAAGTATACCTTTCAGTTCATCATCCTATTATATTGGTGTGCTCGATATTGCAGGATTTGGTATGTTAATTATTTTATTTTGGCGACTTTACAAAATGGAATTTTAAAATACTATTTTTGTTACTTTTCCTCTAGAATATTTTCAAATAAATAGTTTTGAGCAATTTTGTATCAACTATTGTAACGAGAAACTACAACAATTTTTCAATGAGCGTATTTTAAAAGACGTAAGCATAAGTGATTCGTATTCTTTCTTTTCATTTTATTATTTTCTGCTTGTTGAATGTATTGTATTTCCATGCATACGAGGGCATGCTCTTACAGATTGGGCAAAATTGACACTACATTCCGTAAAGCACCTAAAAAAAACTTTTATAGTATTGGAAGCAATTTTTATTTATAATGATGATTACTGCAGAGACAACACCAAATAGTTATTGTATCGGTACATTTTACATTGATGCAATAGTGCAAGGCTGTTTTAAGTTGAAATAAGCTGGTACACATAAGGGCATACTCTTGTTTGTTTGGAAATACAGTACTCATCACAGATGAATTTAATAAATTAATTTAAATACAAATACCTAGAACTAATGACTCAATACATAATTTTTATAAAATAAAATAAATCAAGAAATTTACTTACTAACTGTAAACATAATTTTTTAAATTAAATAGGAGCAAGCCTTATATGAAAAAGAAGGGTTAAGTGTAAGGAAAATCAATTATGTTGATAATCAAGATTGTATTGGTAAGTGAATCTTTCATTATAAAATTTACAAAAAAAACTTTTTCATATTACTAAAGTCATACATATTAGAAAAATAATTCTGATGAGAGAGAGTCAATTTTGTTTTGTGCTTTAAAATAGAACATTAACAAAATTAATTACACTTCACGCCAAAGCAGTCAAAATGTAATGTATTTTCTGTTTTACAGTTAAAAGCAACTTTTTATTCAAAATTGCAATTACTTTCGATAGCTTGCAACTATCCTTGTCAGGATGATTCTAATAGAACGTTAAATGATTTTACATTAAATATTAAATTTTTTATTTAATATTACATTAAATTAAATATGTGATGGTAATTAATTAATTAATTTTTTAACTGTTTGTTAGATTTTTTCAAAGAAACTAAATATTTAACAGTACAGTATTGAACAATATTCTTTTTTTCATAAATTGAATATAAGAAATTACAAAAAGATTTTCTTGAAATTTAATTAATTACAATTAACATTAAATAGAGCTCCGATGAATGTCATTCATATCTGTCTATCATTTAGTCAAAACACTTGATTGATAAAATTAGCATTTTATGTAACAATAAATAGTTAAACTTTGAATTTTGTTTAAAAATTTATAAATAATAATTTATAATTGTCAAATAAATAAAGGTTTCAGATATTCAGAAACATTACCTATAATTTATGTGTATTCTTATAAATTGTTAAATTGGTTAATGAAGAAAGAAAAACATTTCTGTATGCTATTTGTGTAATCAAGATCAAAGAGCAAATATATTATTTTCAGTACTTTTACTTTAAAAAGGGTTGTCTGTGCTAGTATTAAGTGATGAGCTGAAGCCATGTTGACATATAAATAATATAATCATAAATTTTAACATTTTTTATAATCTTTTCTTTGATAACTTTAGTTAAATGTACCATTATTCTCCATAAAAAAAGAAATACATGCAACAAAATGTTGATAAAATGTTGCTAAATGAATGCTTTTAAGTCTGTTTGGTAACTATATTTTCAATTCTCATTAAAATTCCGTTCTGTATTTCCTTCTAATAATGAATGATACAGGCTGTTAATTAGATTTTTATTTTGAAAATTAGGTTGTATTTTGTAAGTAAAATCAAAGTATATTATTATTGGAAGTTGAAGGAGAAAAAGTTAATCCAAAACAAAGTTTTTTGAACTGATTAATTTGAAAACTTAACAGGGTTGCAAGGTGATAAATTGTGTAACCAGGACTAAACATTTCAAAGTAATTGTTTCTTAAATGATAAGTAGCATTGTATGTGTGCTTATAAACTGAGAATGTAATCTCTCAAGTTATAATTTAACAAATATTTATTTTAAAATCTTACTTTTTAAGTTAAAATAAATATAATTTTTTAATGTATGTGAATATCAGCAACTCTCAATATATTTATGATATTATTTTTAATTTCAGAGCTTCTTGAAAACAAAGGAAATGGAATTTTTGACTTATTAGATGAAGAGAGCAAATTACCAAAGCCTAGTCATAATCACTTTACTTCTACTGTACATAACAATTATAGTCGTCACTTTAGGTTAGCAGTTCCTCGAAAGTCTAAACTGAGAGATCACAGGGAAATTCGCGACGATGAGGGATTTTTAATTCGTCATTTTGCTGGTGCAGTTTGTTACAAGACTGTAAGTTTTAAATTTAATATTATCATATAGTAAGTCAAGCTCAAATTATCTGTTAACCCCTTCAAGAGAATTATCTACTATGTATTTGTAGAAAGTATAATATGGTATATATAAAAGGATTAAAGGCTAATTAAAATTAAATTAAACTTTAAGAAAATAAGATCCTAATAATTAAAATTAAATTATTAGGATCTTATTTTCTTAAAGTTTAATTTGTGTCTCTGTGAAATACTCTCTATATGACATTAGAAACATGCATGCATATGTATATATGTGTGTGTCCGTATATATATATGTAGCATCAACATAGAAAGTGTATCACCTATGCTTTATACTAATGATGAGGAACCTTTTCTGAATGCAGGCTATAAGTGAACTTCTTAGATTTCCAGTGGGCTGACAAAGTTAGATTTTTGAGCCTGTTGAGTACCAACATGTTTGATAACCTCCAGTATACTAGATATTAAAATAAATGTGCTAATGATACGAAAAATAGTAATACAGTATATAGTTTATTTTTATCTTTTGCTGATTGAGTTTAGTTTGAATGTTCTTTGTCACGAATATCAGCTTAATTAGAGTTGTATAATGGAAAATATCTTGAAAACAGAAAAAGAATTAAGAAAACACAGAAAACAGAAAAATAAAATTGCATTGACAAAGCCCCAAGGGATGCAAATTAAATCTTGAGGGCTATGGGTTTCATGATCAACATATATCAAAAGCATTTAACAGGTCAGAAGAAATTGCTATTCATAGTTATAGAAGCAAAAAGTAAAGATTTACTTGTATAAATTTTGATAAATTTAGTAAAATAATACAGAGATTGAAATGAGTGTTGACTTTTTATTAGAAAATGTACAGTTTAAAAATTTAATTGTAAACTGTTTTCCAACTATAGGCATGTCTTGGACTTATGACAGGTTACATTCTGGTGTGTGTTTGTAAATTGAAGTACTTTATTTTTTTTATCTTATAATTGCGTAATGAACTGCAATTGTTGTATACATGAGTAACTGCACCAAGTTGTCAAATTCATGCACAACTAATGTAAGTAAAGTATTGTTAGGTAAAATAAAGATTGTAAGCCTTATTTGCTAACTAGGATAATAGTACTAATTCCTGTTCACTGTTAGTAAAATAAATATGTACAAAAAGCATGTAGAAAAGATTACTATTAAGGTACGGTACATATACTTACCTTAAATATAGGCTTCTCTTGCTTACAAAGACTAAAGGTAAGGCTATGGCAACTTCTAATACTTGGGCTAGATGCTTTTGTGCAGGAGAAGTATGATTTTGAGGTATTGGCCTTTTCCAAAGGCACATATCTGTAATTGTTTGCTAAATCATTGTTTATTTCTCCTCATATATCTCCTTGTAATAGGCACAAGCATTTCAAATGATTGAATTAACTTTAGAACTTTGTTCAAAATTTGGATTATATTTTTTAAGAAATGCTAGCTTCGAACTAGTGGATTAATTCTAAAATAATTTCTGTAGTCAGTCCTGTGTTGACTCCACTGATGAATGCTTCTATAATGCTTTATTTATTTCTATTGAGAGCCCAGATAGTTTCCTTATAGTGCATTACAAAAAAAAAAAAAAAAAAAGGNAAAAAAAAAAAAAAAAAAAAAAAGGTGCATTATGAGGGTTTGATTAGTGCCAGGCAATAAATAACAAAAATTGTTAATAAATCAAAAACCTGAAATAATTACTATATATAATAACAAAAATCTATTCCTCTAAGCCTGAATATGTACAATAATGAAATAAAGTTAGCAAAAATTTAAAGTATAATAAAAAAATATTTTCTCAAATCCAAAAAACTAATTAATATATATACACGAGACTTTTTCTGACACTTGGGGATTTGGGGACTTATAATTTAATCTAATCTATATAACTATCTTATAGAGTTTAGTTCCCGAGGCCTAATTAATTTCCTCTAGGAAAATTATGTAATCTATTAATTTTTTATATTAAATAGTTATTTCCACTTAAAAGTGAATCTGACAGCCAAAAAAATTGCCGGGAAATGATTGCTACAAAATAAATATCGTCCAAAAATGTGTTTTTATAGAAAAACTATATAAAAAATTTAAAATAATCTAAAAAAAAAAAATGCTTTTATTTGATAAATATAGCTGCAGGGATTGTTATTCTTTCATTTGACAATGTGCGAAAATTTACACATGCAGTCTACATTGTTTATAAACTGGTTGACCTTGAGAACAGCTGGTGACTGCTTTCCCAGGATATTTACATGTAGGCCTGGGGAAGAAAGACCTAGTTTAAAGCAGAAGGTGAACTATTTTACCACATATATTCAAATATAACACAAAATTCTTGATTTTTATGCTATTAAAATACGGGGGACTGAAAAAAAGGTATATATAAAAAAATTCTACTAAATAAAAAACTGAAAAAAAACCTTTTGATGTCATAAAAAACATTCAATAGTATTTTTAAAAATTTTACCAAAGTCAAATCAGTCCAATAGAAGTTTAGAATAATTTAATTAATTTGATTAAAAAAACAATAGTGCAATTAATTATCTAATTAAAAAATGTTATTAAAAACTTTTTGCAGCAAAAATAATTCATAAAATTTGCATATGATTTATATGATGCATATGATATTTGATAATGATATATATATAAACTAGCCCATACATTTTGGAAAAGTTATACCATTAAGAACCATTTTTTTGTAACTCTATGTAAACTGCCTGAGTTAACTTGGGCAAAGGACTACGCAAGAGTTTGTCTTGCTCGAGTTAACTTAGGCAAAGAACTTAAGGGGTTATATAATTATCTCCACAAAACGAACAAGCAAAAATATAAAATTGAACTATATGGAAAATACACAGAAGAAACCTGGCAAATTAAATTTACCTAACCGTCACCAAGAAATTTTTAAGTCATCGGCGGAACCAGAAAGCCTTGCTTTAACCTTGCTTGATCTTTAGCATCACCTAGTTTGATCTCAAGTTTCACCTCCTCCTTATAGTGCAGTCATGGCAACATTACATGATTATGCCCATTTGACCCTATTTACATACTTAAGTTGCTAACAATTTGTTTAATTTTAGTAATCTTTCTTTAAGTTGCATCATTGCCTTACATTTAATCTTTTATCATTTTTGTTGTGCTTTTTTGTGACAATTTGGGGTGGGAGATCATTCTTTTAACTTCCAGTGGAAGTCACAATTAATTTTTTTAAAGACCCAATTGGAAGTTACAATTTAATGAGCTTATTATTTAATATGTATTATTATGCTTCAGTTATGTTCCAATAGACAGTACAGGCCACTTAATTTGTAGAAATATTAATTACATTTCTTGAATTTCTTGAGATCTCTACTTTCTCATAGTAGTCCATCATACTTGATGGGGAAATTTCTAGTTAAAAGTATAAAACTTCTAAGATTTTTATAAATCAATGAATAAGTACAAAATTTATTTAAAAACTCCAACTAAAATTTGGAAAACTGAATGTTTTCTTAATGTTAAAACTTTTCAATATTTGATGTGTTTCATATATATTATTATATTTGAACATTATATTCATTACATTAAGAATAATAATTATAGATTTTGCATTTCTTGCACAAAGTCAGTTATAACAGTTTCTTTTTATCTTTAGGCAAAGTTTATCGAAAAGAATAACGATGCACTTCACGCATCCTTAGAAAGTTTAATGCTGGAATCAAAAAATTTGTTCTTGAAAAGCCTGTTTACGGCAGATTCGAACTCTCAAAGTCTAAAAGGAAAGCTCTCATTTATTAGTGTCGGTAGTAAATTCAGGACTCAGTTACAAGATTTGATGACTAAATTGTCACTCACTGGAACTCATTTTGTTCGATGCATCAAGCCAAATTTTAGGATGGTGGACCATCTGTTTGAAGGAAGCCAAATATTAAACCAACTTCGCTGTGCTGGTAAGTTGTTTTGTGTGCTGTTTTCCAAAAATTGAAAATTCTTTTATTATTGTTATTGAAATTATAAAATTCAGATTACATTGCAGAGCTGATTATTAATATGATCATAGTTTATCATTTTCTTCTACATAATTGAATTCACACGGTAACAATTTAAATATAAAATCAAGACAAATTTCCAATTTATATAATTAGTGAAATCCTGCTTTATTGTAGAATTTGAAGTTTTAATTTATCTCTCCAAATACCAGGATTATACTAAACCAAATGATTTCTGTAATTAATCTGGCTATTTTTTGCTACAATTAATAATTAGAAATTAAGTAATTTGGTACTAGAGGTAGACGTTAGGCATCGTCCGTCTCTTATCAAAGTCAGTAACTGTGAATGGTTATATCAAATATTTAAATGTATCTGAAAGCAAAGAGTCTCTCAGAGGTCCAGATGGCATAACTGGGCAGCGCACCACGTGGTAAATGGAGGTTGCAGGTTCATCTCTTGCTCCTGGCTGATTATTTTCTTCCAAACTGTTCTAATAAACATTAAATTATTAATTTTGAAAATATAGTGTTTTTAGGAACAAAAGGCAAATGTTATTAAACAAAAATAGCAAAGAAATGATAATAAATGTTGATTTCTGACAATTGAAGTGTAAACTTAACTGTAGTTCCTATGATATTTGTTTATATAGTTTGTCCTCACATGATTACAGTTGTCTGTCATTTCTTTTTTTAGCCATAGAAGTTTAAAATTATTTGGTTAGAAACATTTAAAAAACCATGTGTCAGTTAAGTACACCAAATCTCCAAATTTTGTTTTATGAAAATCTGTATTTGCTTTTTTAAAAAACTAAAGCAAGTAAAACAAATAAAGTACAAAATGTCTTGACATTTTGTAATTTATTTTTTAAGTAGTAAATAAGTAAAATATATATTTAAATATATTTTGTACAAGAGTTAAGTTTTATATTTGTATCTTTTAAGGTTTTTTTCTGAAGATGAGATAAATTTCTCAAAAGGGTTAGGGAAAAAATAGTCAGCATCAACTGACTTAGATTTTAAGATCGTATTTTGAAGGCCTTGATTATAAAACAGGAAAGTATGTGCCCTTAGATAAGATTAAGTATTAAAATGAATGATAATATGCATGGCATGTGAGAACTGCATCTACGAGTTTATGTAGTTCTATTGTTTTACTCCTGTCAATAATAATAATTGTTTTATATTCTTGATGTTTGCATATTTAAGATTAATATGTAACAGTATTTTAATATATAATCTAACAATTACAATTAACACAAAATTCTGATGAGCTTTTTTGATTATTTTCTTAACAAATTACATAAAATAACTATGTAACCATTCACAATTTTTCTATTCCTTGCTTGTTATAATATATCATAAAATTTACAATATTTTTTAAATGTGTGTACAGATGTAGGTTGCTTAAATTCACACTTTTAAAAACTAAACAATATGCAGATGCACTTGAATTTATGAATGCAGTTGGGAGTGGAAGACTATGCGTAATTTGGATTGTTTATAATCTCAATGTCCCTTTAACTTTAAGGCATAACATATATCGAGCATACACAGGGTCTTCCAAAAAGATTGCTATCATTTTAAATTACTGTAATTATGTTAATTATCATCCTTGGGGTACGTGACGTACATCAATTGATATAGTAATTGTCCAAGTTTTGTCTTCTGTTGCATTCAGATGTGTGTAGGAAGCGCCATAAATAAAAATGCTGACTTTGCAACAGAGAAGGCATTTTGTGTTCTGCAGTCTATAGTGTTGGAGTCATGTCGTCATTGCATAGTAAGGATGTTTGTTTTTTATGACATATCACTGAAATTGTCTGCACAACAAAAAAATCATCAAAAATTATGCTGCACAATGATGACTGATTCTGACATTGCAGATTGCAGAACACAAAATATCTTCTCTGTTGCACAGTTGCCATTTTTTTTACGGTACTTTCTAGAGGCAATAGACAAAAAGACACTTGTATGCATATGATAGGCAAAAAAACTGACATTTACTCTAACAATTGGTGTATTCCACATACTTTTTAGATAAGAATTAACATAATTACAGTAATTTAAAATGATAGCATTCTTCTTGGAAGATCCTATATCATGAATGGAAATATTGTATACCAAAGAAAATAATAACAAATGCTTAATTTTACTTTAATATTTAATATACATTACAACATTCTCACATAATAATTAATATAATTACAATAATTGAAAATGATAGCATTCTTCTTGGAAGATCCTGTATTGTGGACATTAAAACTTTTCATTATTTACTAATTATTCCATAATGCTTATTTCTAAAACTTATTTATTTCATATGTCTTTAACATACAGTGGGTGATCGGTTAACGAACATAATCCATTCCAAGACTTTGTTCGCTATCCGAATTGTTCGTTAACCGATTATGAATTTACCATAGGTTTGTATGGGAATTTGATTAATTCGTTCTGGAGACATCCCAAAATAAAAAATATATACTTTCTTACTACGTTTATTTATATGTATACACAGATGTGCATTTTTATTAGTTATGGTTTTTTTTTTTTGNGGATGACTTCTGTATTAGAATTAATGCAGCAAGGGTATCCGTCAAGAACGCAGTTTTCAGAGTTATACAATATGTACAAAAAGTATCTTCCGGCCGAATTGGCGAGATTGGATTCCAGACTGTTTTGTAGGGTAAGTTTATTGTCGAGAATTGAACTTACACAAGAAACTCTATATCTGTATTAATCTTACACTTCAAATTTAATTCTACGATAAACAAACACAAGATTTAATTTTTATTTATTATTTGTAAAATTTTGGAAGGAAAAATAAAACTGTAATGTAGTATAAGATCAAATTCATTTATCAGTTTAATGTTAATTTAATCTACAATAAAATCAGATAAAACACTACGACACCAGCTCACAGCTAAAATTGTGCGCGGTGCCATCTGTTATGAGATGTTATTAGAAAATAACTTTTATAACTTTATATTAATTGAAAGAGAGTTTCAGTTTGTCCAGTTTAGTTTGAGTAATTGGCTGGGACTAAAAATACTATTTGGGTTTCAAATTGAAGCTCTTACTGTGTAGATGATGCTGCTGAAGAGAGATTTTAGAAAGGTACAGTGGTTTAGGTGTAGCAAGATACATCGTTAAGTCTATGAGACAGACGTGTTGGATGCTAATGGAATTTGCTTGGCTTTACATTTCAAATGCAAAAAGCCAGTAGTAGAAACAACTTTCATTTTAGTGACTGTTATCATACACTGCATATCAGAAATATGTGAGAGCACTTCATCCTATACCAGAATAGTATCGTATGTATAACCTATATACTGTGTATGTATATAATTTATTTATTTATTTATTAGGGATATATATGGGAGGCATGATCAGGGTTTAGAAAGTTGCAGTTTGCCATTGTCAGTATAAGCAATTCCCAAAGTGATTAGAATAAGCAGATTATGTTGTATATAATTTTAAAATATAAAAGAGGGGAAAAAACGCTTGGATATGATACATGAATTAAAAACAAAAAATATTTATAAACTTAACAAATATAAAATTACAATCTTCAGTTTTATTTGATAGTCATACAAATTACATGGAAGTTAGAATTTTAAAACTATACAATATAACTGTTAATATTATTCATAAACGAATTAATAAAATAAGTAATGAAAGTTTGTCTATAACAGCAAAAATAAAAAATTATGGTTGATTTATTTATTTTTTTATATTAAACTTAACTTGTTCTTTGGCAGGCACTGTTCAAAGCTCTAGGATTGAATGAAGAAGACTTTTGCTTTGGCTTAACCAAAGTGTTTTTCCGTCCTGGAAAGTTTGCAGAATTCGATCAGATTATGAAGTCTGATCCCGAAAATCTTTCAATGCTCGTCAACAGGGTGAAGAAATGGTTATTGGCATCGAGATGGAAGAAAGCGCAGTGGTGTGCCTTATCTGCTATAAAATGTAAGTACTTTTAAATAAAATGAGTAAAGAATATTATCTATAAGCTCTAAATTAAGGATTCTCAAATGTGGCCACTGTAGTCGTCAATCTATTCTGTGCAATTCTCCAATTTAGAGTGTCAATTCTTTAAGTTTTTACTTGCTAAATAACTGCCATTTTGGATATATTTTGATGACTGAATTTCATTTATCTTAGATGATAAATGTCGTAAATGCAAATAAATGTGGTTGCTACCTTATGAGAGATCTTTTGTTATGCTTTCACACACATATGGCCAGGAGTTATTTTCCATACTGCAAATATTCCCATGATACATATTACGAGAATCCCTGATTTAGATAATGTACCATATTCTATGGCATACAAGATGCACTCTCTTTTAGCAAAGAATATTTAGGGAAAAAGTATTTAGTGTATTTACCTGAAGGCTGCTGGGTGATTCATTAGCCTTGAGAGATCACAGCTTCACATGTAAGATGAAGGGCAATTTTTTTAGTTTTTTTCTGGATAAAGGTCAATAATATATATATTTTAGATGCTAAGAATGTAATTGGGAAACTTGGAATTTTATATGTAAATTATAAAAATAAATTACTTGTATTTTCACAATTTTAATTAGAATTTAATTTATTATTCAATTGATTACTGTCTAATTTGTAACTTACTGTGGTAAATTGCATTTGTAATCAAGTATCGTAATGATAATTTATCACTGTTATAGTTATTTTTTGCTTTGAATTTATTTATTTATATATTTAGAAAGTGAATAACATAAATATATGATACTTTTAATAAAGTTATATGAATAAATTTGAATGTTTATTTATAATTATGTATATGTTTTTTACAGTAAAAAATAAAATATTATATAGAAGAGCGAATCTTATAATTATTCAAAAAACTGTAAAAATGCATCTTGCCAAAAGGAAATATCGTCCAAGGTGAGTTACTTACAAGAGCGAATATTCTTTGAATGTTGCAATTTGAATTTAAAAAATAATTATAAAATTGTGTATTGTGTTAAATTTATTAAAAAATAAGTTGTTTGTTTTTCTGCATTAAAAATGGCCAATGAATAAATATTAAAAACAAATTATATTTAAATTAAAAGAATGTCAAAAAAGTTTAATACTTCATATCAATGGTCTACATTGAAAAAAAACCATAAGCCACAGGCTGTAAGTCATATATAAGCCAGAAAGTGATTTCTGGCCTGTATGTCAACTTTATACTTCTTAAAATCCAAAAATTCACAGGCTTTTACACTAAAAAAATTATTAAAGTCAGCATTTTTAGACTGTTAAGCATTTTAATTGTCACTACCCAAGTTTTTTTTTCTTCTCTGAATTGTTACAAATGTTGCATTAAAAATAACAGGAAATTGTCACTTAATTTTAAATGCTTTTCTTAAAATATATGATAAAATAGAAATATACAGAAAAATTTAGTAGTAGATTTCTCATTTTTATTTTTTCTTACCATAAAGAATGTCTAATCATGTATTAGTAGACACACAATAAATTATATGCAATTACTTTATTCAGTAAAATGACTGATTAGTGACTTCAATTAATAAATAATATTATTGATTATATTATAATTTTAATTGTATGCATGCCACTATAGAAATTAGTTATTAAAATAGTTATTTAAAAAGTTAATCATTTACCAAACTACTGGTTTATTTGGGTTATAATGATCTATAAATACAGTAAAACCTTGTTGAGTTAGCAAGTTTAATATCAGACTTACTCAAATTTTTCTGTGGTCGTAAATTTCCTGTTATCAATCTGTTTCTTGGGAATCTGTTTGCAGAATAATTACAAAATTGTATGCCTTTCATGACATTTTTGACTGTGTTGTGAAGGCACACTTTCGTGTTCCAATCAGAATGCCCGTAACACTGTGTCATTTTGATGTGAGGTCATAATGACATGTTTTGATCTGCACAGAGTGGTTGTGTTTGTTTATCTTAGTCGTCTGCATTCATGTGGAATATAAAAGAATGAGGATCACAGATTATCAACAGGTGGAAGGAACATGGAAAAATAGGTTTGAATTAAAAGTACCAACAATTTTGATTCAACAAGATGTTACTATATGGAAAACTCTAATCCTATGCCAGGGAGCTTCGAGTTAACACAGTTCAACTTAGAGAGACTTTACTGTAGTTAATTAGTAGGCTAGTTATGACCCTAAGAATCTATCAGTTCAGATAAATATTATATATGATTAATTCTTATGGTTATTAATAATTAAGCTTAATTATTTATGTATGTATTAACTTACTTATCAAAATTATTCTAAATCTTAGGTTTCTGGCAATTATGAAGATTAAAGCATTACGGGAACAGTTAAAAAATATGTCAACCATCATTAATCAGCTGAAAAAGGATAAGCAACAATCCGAAGCACAAGTTCGCAATTTAGAATTTCAAATGAATGATCTTATAAATACGATCAAGGTATTTAATTTTATAATTAAAATTATTTCTGTTAACTTGCAACAATTTATTACTTGAGGATAAAATTACTAGTTGTTTTCGGACGTTCCAACACACAACTTACTTCGGTTCAAATCTTGAAGCACATGATTATTTGATAGTGAGCATTTAACTGCATACTCCAACCCAAAAATTTGAAGATTGGGTTTGTTTTATAATTCTGGCATAATTTTAATGGTGGGTATCTAAAAGGAACATTTTTAGTATATAATGCTGTTTTATTTTAAAAAAAAAACACAGTGCAAAACTGTAAAAAGTTATGCAAGGTGTAGGGGGAATGTCATCAAAAAACACATGTGCCAGAAGTAGTTACTAAAATTTCATTCATCAATGGGTTTTTCATCTCCAAGTTGTACCAGTCTGGCTAGATATGAGAGATTTGTAACAACTAACTTAAGTATTTAATTGACAATAATCCTTGTCACACAATGCCGGAAATTGCATTATTGAATATAGATATTTCCTTCCAGTAAAAATTTGCTTTCTATTTATATGGTAAAAATCATTTGGCTAACCAAATTTCCTGTGTGATAGTGAAATTCATCTGTGTGTAACAAGGAAAAAAAAATTAATGTATTAGAAAACTGTTATTGATTGATTTTCACTATTCATTGACACCTCTGCATGTAATGTGCTATATACTGTTTTTTCTCCTTATTTTACTCTCCTGTGCACTCTACAGTATCTGTGCCAGTTGCATAGATTAAAGAAGCTTCCACACTTGTGAGATAAGGGAAGTCTTTTGAATGAGTTAATTTAATAAGAAGTAATTTGTTCATCTATACTAATATTATAAAGAGGTAATGTTTGTATGTAAGTTTGTTTGCAGCAGGTAATCTCCAAAACTACTCATCCGATTTCAAAAATTCTTTCACCAATATTTAGAATGGAACTTCAGGGTGGACATAGGCTGTATATTATTCCGTTAAACATTCATATAAATTAAATTATATCATCTAGGGTTAAGGTTTTTATGTCCAACAGATGGTGCTACAAGTTCAACGCCCTAAGTTTGCTTTTCTGTGAGGCATTATGCTTTTCTGTGAAAATGAACTAAAACAGATCATCTTCTATCTATTTATATAAATAAAAATGTAATGTTCGTTTGTTCCTACCGATTCCTTTGAAATTTTGACACAATGCTGCATTCGAATACGCACATGTTTTTATATAATATACATGTCGAAATCCCCCCGGGAGATGGACAGGATTAAGGCTTACCGTAAAGAACTCTGCTTCTGTTTATACTATTTTAGATGTGGGTTTTTGTGTTTTTGATTGTGTTTTAATAGGGTACGTCAAGAGAATGTACACTAAGAAGAAATTTTTCGAAAAATTTCCCCCCACGGGGGAAGTGTTATAAATTTATAATAGATACATTTTGAGCCACAACAACATGTGGCAGGGTCTGCTAGTTTTTAATAAAAGCAAAAAACATGCTTAGATTTGACAAGGGGTTAGAAACATTATTGGCAAGTAAGCATTCTGATAACAAGGATTTTCTCATTCAGAAAGAGTATAGCAAATTGGTTAATGATATAAAACAGTTTAAAGAAACCTTAAAATCCATCTGTGTTTTAAAACAAAAATATTTGCATTTTTAGTTTATCCTTTATCCTTGTTAGGAAAAAACTGCTGGTGTTGAATGATGCATTAAGATCATTGGCGGCAAAGAAATAACTTAGGGAGAAGCCGTATCATCTGATTTTGAGTATCAATGGTGTCCGGTAGTGTTGGTCAGTAACTAGAATATCTGGGCAAAATGTAACAATACGGTAAATGGCCCCCGAATTTGTGATGTATACTGAACAAAACTGAGAAATTACGTTAATGGCCAGTTAACAATGTTCTTGCCCTTCAATATTGGAAGTTAATGTTACAGACTTGCCATCAACATCATTGACCATATTACCAACGAGAATTTTTAATAACAACAGTTACTTTCAGTTTACTTTAAACCATTTGCAGTTTTCCATCTTTTCTATATATATATACATATATATTATATACAAAACTTTTAACAAAATATAAACTAAATGTTATTTATTGCAGACGACGAATATTTCACCTTCAAAAATAGAAGAAAACTACAACCTTCTAACTAGGTCTATGAATGAGCAACTGGCAACTTTGAAGAAACAGCTGGAGCAACAGAAAATAGCAGAAGAACAGAAACGTTTGCGTTTAATACAGGAAGAAATAGAAAAAGAACGTATAAGAAAAGAAGAAGAAACAAGAAAGAAGAAAGAAGAGGAAGAACTCAGACAGAAGTTAGTTCTTTTTTCATTTAAATTTAGTTTGAAAATTTATTTTCATAACAGAAAAGTTTTTGTTTGTGTACAGAAATATGCATTTGTGTGTTAATTTTGTATTTTCAATCTTGTCATTATAAATAATAATTAAAAATATGAGATTGAATTAAATAAATAAATAAGACAATCAGCTGACATTTTACTGTAAGTAATATAATTTTACTATGATATTTTTTCTTCTTGTATCTTGTCAGAATTGAATTGTTTTTAAAAATTAGAGTAGGACGTTTAAAAACAATTTATTATGTTAGAGTAAATACAATTCTTGGTTGGAATTTTTTACATTGATTTTGAATAGAAATTCTAAAATTTTACAAACTTTTATTAAAAGATTTTTTTTCAAATAAAACTCTTGAATATAAAATACATCATTCTAGAAGTGCCGCGTGGATAAAACTATCAAACACTGGTAGTTAGTTCCGAGTTTGCATCTGACCAATGGGCTGGTCGTGTGGAGTTTTCCTGATGTCTTCACATGTCTGACACCTAATCCTGTAGAGAATCCTTCTGAAACACACCCCTTATTGTGTTCTCTTATTCTATCAACCAAACCTAACTAAAAATTGATACTGAAAATATATTTTTGACACTATTAACAGTCATATTAATGATGTAATCACTAGGCAGTATACATTATTTACTTGAATTTTATATCTTTAAACTATTCAAATTTTAGTTTTTCTCTCATTACATAAACTAATTTTTTAAATTCAGTTATAAATACTTTAGGAAGTTTTGGACTAGTTAAAATTTTGCTATTTATTACTTTATTATAAATGAAGGCTATACAGTTTATATTTATCTCACTTATAATGTACAGAATTTTTATTTAAAAATAGTTCATTTGATAAGATTTTATTCTGTGAATATTGGGTGTATGATTATTCTACTTTGCAACGATACTGACTGCATATGTTTTTATATTTTTTAGAAAAATTGAAATGGAAACGACGAGAAAATTGGAAGAGGAACGTGCCATACGATATGAAAAGGAACAAGAAAAATTACAGGTGAATAATTTCGATTTTTGTATTAAATTTGTAATTATTGAATATAAAATGATGTTGCTATTCATTAGAATTTATTTTTAAAAATTATGTGCATGTCAAGCAGTGAGCTTGCAGTCTACCACTCCAGGGACCTAGGATAGAATCTGGACAAGTCAAAAAACTCATGAGAATTTTTCAGGGAGGTCTGTCTGGATGCATCGGACTATGTCTCCGGCTGCCTTGTCACAGGGCTTGCTAAAAAAGTCCTCTCTGTGCCCATGGGGTAGAATGAGTTTTTTAAAAAAAATGAATTACAAAAAGAATCTAGATTTCAAGCTATTACAATAAGAAGAGAAAAGGTTTTCAACATAGATTCTTGAGAAATTTGATTTCTCAAGAATCTATGTTGAAAACATATTAATTGGTCAGCAATAGTAAATTGAATAAGATCAATTTTAGTGTACAGAAATGCTTTCTGTAAAGTAACTGTTTGAAATTTGACACACTTCTCACTTACATTATTTTGATTTGACAGGTTTTTGATAAAATAAACCAATTCTCCAATTAAAAGCATTCTCCAATTAAAAGATTGTTGAATCTGACAGTGAAAATAAATCTTTTATGTCCAACAATTGTTTAAAAATTGAACAGACATTTTTGGTCACCTTCATTAGCCAAAAATGTTTGCTCATTTTACATCTTCATTTTCAAGTTTTAAATTTGAAACAAAATTTAAAAAAAAAACAAAAAAGGGAATATCAGTTACATTCAGATTTTTTATGCATATGTATACACACAGAAAATATACAGTACACATTGATGGCCTAGAGTGAAAATCAACTCATAATGAAAAATTTGCACTATTTCAGGAATGTGAAAAGCAGAATAAAAAATTTTGGGTTGAGACAATTAAAATGCTTAACAGTTTCAAAATATTGGCTTTGATAGAAAAATAGGTTTGAATAGAAAAATATGTTTTATTAAGGAAAATATATACAAATTGGTATTTATTATAGTGTGTACTATTCGGTAGTTCTCTTTGCTTGAAATGTCTTAAGAGTCATACACGTGATGCTAGGAGCGGCTTAACCTAGCCTTTTGCCATTCCTAAAAACCAAATCTGCACTAACTGATAACAATCTTGCTCAAAACAACTTCTGACTGTACTTCTGACATTAAATTCTTCTTTATAAATGTAATTTATTTATATTTATTCTAGGCTGCAATGGAAAGTGAGAAACTTAAAGAAGAAGCGGCAGAAATTAAAAGGTAAAGTTAATAATTTTGTATTTTTTGTGAAATTCTTCAATTCTTAAATGTGGAATGCCATTTAAAAGAAATCAAATAAGCCCATGTCCAGTTTGTAAATTTACAAAAATTGAGATAGAATTTTGGTCACCTGTAAACATTTGTATCAATTGAAATGTTCCTTTTTGGCCTTTTGCTGCTTCTGCAATTCTGCTAAGGAGAATCTTTGCATCTTATGAGCTTGCAAGCCTTTGCTCAGACATTCGTGTGTAAATTATTATTTTTTCTAGACTCGGTGACATCTGCCAGTTGACATGTAGAAATTTATCATCCTTTTTTTTTAAAGAAGTCAGATTTTTGAAGTAGTTTCTTGTGTTATGGGATGCACAATGGACCTTTCAAGTCAAAGTACTTTTTGGCTTTGCTTCTTATCTGTACAATCTGTAATCCAAAGTTCTGTAATAAATATTGAGCTGCCATCATCAATAATATTGTCATTGATAGCCATTGATTGTCATTGTATTGGTATGGCTTTCAATAGTTGTTCTGCAGGACAAGTGGTTAAGGTGGCAGTCTGCCACTCTGAGGACTGGATTGAATCTGAATGGTTCAAAAAACCTGGGAATTTTTGGAAGTGGTTCATTTGGATACATTAATTTCTGTCCCTCCCCACCCAACCACTTCGTTACCAATCCAGTGAAACCAGTAATGAGCTTGCTAAAAAAAGTCTGCAGAGTGGAGAGAGATAAAAAGAAAATTAAGCAATTAAAAACATATTTTTACATATAATTTAATATTATATTATTTAATTCTTGCTTCTAAATATTTATAACTTAATTATTAAATGGTGAGAAATTGGGACTCAGCATTTCAGCTTGGCATGTTTGATATTATTAGTTTAAACCCACAAAAATTTGACAACAAATTTATATTGTAAATGTTTGTATTTAGACAGCAGCAGCTAGAACAAGAATTAAGAGATCACGAATTGGCATTACGTCTCGCCCAAGACATGAATGGAGCGGTTGAAGAGGTCTGCACGCCTCCATCTTTGCCACGGTAATTTAAATTGAAGTTTTATTTTTATATTTTTATTTTTTCTCAAAATATGCCAAATGTATAATCAATGATTTAAATTTTAATTCTGTTTTTGTATTTTATAATGTGTATAAGCCGGTACAATTTTTCAATCAAGAGAAGTTAGAAATACAGTTCTTTTATTAGTTATATATGTTACATTGCTTTTACTGTTTGTATTATTTTTTCTTCTCTTGGTGAAGATTATTTTTATATTAGTGATGTTATGAAAATAAGGTTCCTAGATATATCTAAAGATTCTAGTTTGAGTAGAACTTGCAAGAATTTTCTCTCTGCTAGATAAAGAAAAAAAAAAAAGATTATTACACAATGGGAATGAACTGTTTGTTGTTGTGAAATGTTTGATACATTTAATTTTGTTTCTTTTATTATTTTATAACATAATTAATAAAATAATAATTATAAGATAATTAATAAAAATATTTATCAAAAACGTTTAGGTCTACGTTCGTTCAAAGGCAGAAACAACAACAAGCTAATCAGAAATTCGATCTTTCTAAGTGGAAGTATTCGGAACTTCGAGATGCCATCAACACATCTTGTGGTAAGTTATCTTTTGCGTTTCAAGTAATAATTAAAAATAATAAGATGGAATTATAAATAATGTTCTGTAGTGGTAATAATAGAATTTTCGATGCAACTTTGAGTGAGAAGTGCTAGAATACAAATACAAGCTTAAACAGATGTTTATTTTAGCATTTCTTTCTTGAGTGGTTGATTGGCCAAGGTGGCTGTAGACCTTCCACTCCAGAGATCCGGGATCAAATCCTAGGGTCAAAATCCTTGGGAATTTTTCTGGGAGCAGTTCGTCCCGAATGCATCGGGCCCTAAGTCTCTTGGTGTCTACAAGTAGAAAGAGGAAAAAACTATTTATCTCAGAATTTGATTAGCACGACTTACCTACTTTTCATTAAATTATGCAATAAACATAGCTGTTACTCTAATTTTATTAATTAAGAGTGTATTTATATTGTTTATAAGATTTTGTATATGGTCGGTTCTTGGCTTAAGATCATTTGTATTTACAACAGTCAAAACTAATTTGTGCTTAATACAATAGTAATTGTTTAACTGGATCATTAGTACACTGGCATAACAATTAACTGTTTAATATAACATTGGGCAATAAACATACTAAATAACAATAACTGGAAGATTTGGACTTTGAACTGAAATGTGAGTTATAAATAAACACTTGGCTTTATTTCCATCACTTTTTAGTTATTAGATTCATTCATGTTTAACCACAATTTGCATTTGTATCATTAGTGTCCGGAGCACAAAAGGAAACTAATTTTCTTCAAAACTGCTTCTTGGTCAGGATTCTCATTCTGATTTCAACTTTATAATATGGTTAGATGATTTAATAATAAAAATAAAACCAATTCTACACAAAATTTCTAATAGCTTTGAATGTGGTTGACTATCTGCATGTTTTTGTGAATCTTTGTTAATAAGATACTGTACCATAATTAATAAACAACTAAATAGAGATTTTGTTTTGTATTACAGTATATGCACACAATGACAGATTACAATATACATATGCACATAATATTTAGGCTAGTTAAATTTAAATTTTTCTAATGTGAGATCAAGTGAATACCATACACCTTAGAAGGTTGAGTGATAAGTTATTGATCTTGATTTACTGTAAGGATTGGTTCTATACCAAATTTATTGCTCAATATAGTAAAGTAAAGATTTTTAATGGAAATTGTATGACTTCCAGTCAAGACTAGAAGTTTGTATATACAGAATTAACAACACAAATATCTACTGTCCTTTTTGGATGGCATTATCATACCCAGAGAATCGAAGAAGATAGTTATATACTGTTGAAAGTACTCGCTTCTGTAATGCCAAGAGATGGTTGTGATGTTAATTCTGTATCATTGTTTGGAGTGAAATGTCTTCACATTTTATAAGTATGTATGCACTTAGTCAGGACTCTGGCCCTTAAGCTTTCCATATTTGGTCTCAATTTTTGTCTCTGTTCTCAAGATTAATGAAGAATGGATGGACGGCAGTGGGAATGTATAGGTATGCAATTTGAAAATTACAGCCCTGTTATCATTATTTATTATGTTTGATTTACGACGAAAGTCTCAGAGTGAAACTCTGTCCAAAGTTGGGGACTGCCCTCATTTAAATTAACAATTTATAATAAAATAAATTGTTAATTTAAATGCTCTTTAAAGTTATATTACATAATGCTTGTGATATAATTAATTTTGTATTTTTTTAATAGTATTATTCTTTATATAATATTTAGTAAATTATTCTGTAAGTTATAATAGAAATGATATTAAGTTTTATGATAGTTTTTAATTGTTTAATGCTTTTCCACTTAATTAATAACTAATTTTAAAATTTCATTTGATATTCCTCAATTAAACTTGCTTCTTAACCAATAAACAATTGAAAAATTAAAAATTTTAAACCAAGTTTTCTGTTATAGATTTAGAATTATTGGAAGCTTGTAGAGAAGAATTTCATAGACGACTTAAAAATTATCACGCTTGGAAAAGTAAAAATAATAAGAAGCGAAATGCTTTAGAAGAGAGAGCACCTTTGTCAATTACTAAACCTAGTAAGTGATTTTTTTATACTTTAACAAAGTTTTGATATTATATAGGGATGAACCAAATAGGGTTGTTTGCTCCATTTACTACCAGATGGAAGTCTTTACGATATTTTTTTTGTCATGGAGGTTTTCTTTGCGATCTTTGAAAAGTTTCCTTTTACCACTTTGTATGACTATCTGCCACCTGTTGTTTATAATACACACTCTCTTCAAATTCACTTAATTTTCTTCATAAACAATGATTTATATAGAAATTTCTCTTTATTTCAAAATTATATTTGATATTTCTCTCTATTTTTCACTACATTATTTATAGTACATTTATTATTCTCTTTGTCAATAACCACAAAGATTGTATTGTTTGAAGAATTTTTATCAAAAGAAAGTGAAGTTTTACTTTTGAATTATTCATTTTATTCTGTCTTAATCACATCCTTGTTTATCTTCTTTTCTTGGCTGTAATTTGATTTTAATTTTTTGAACCATGTAGCTATGAGTGTATATTTTCTAAATGATTCTTGTCAAATCTTATATTTAGATGTTTACAGTGAGTGTTGAATGACTTTTAATTTAATTATTTTACTTTACATAACATTTCTTGTAAGTTTATTTAAGTAATTGCATTCATCTGTGTACCTTTATATATAAATTAATTTTGGTTATAAGTTGTTATGAATTTTTAAAATTACCATTATTATCATGCTAGGTGCTCCTCCATTACCTCCCAGATCGTCATCTCTACCCGAAAGTAAGCAGCGATATTTTCGTATACCATTTGTTAGACCCGGAATTCCCGGAGACAAAGGTTGGTGGTACGCTCACTTTGATGGTCAGTGGATTGCTCGCCAGATGGAATTACATCCCAACAAAGCACCGATTTTGCTAGTGGCAGGTGAGCATCATCCTTTTAATCATTTCTTATAACTTAAAAAAATAAAGTTTGTTCTTCCACTGTTCAAAAACATGATGGATTATCATTTGCTTACCTTCATAAATCAATCTTGTTGTAAATTATTTTGTCTCTTATCGAAATTTAAATTTATTTTCAGGCAAAGATGACATGCAGATGTGTGAATTAAGCTTGGAAGAGACTGGCCTTGCTCGCAAACGCGGAGCAGAGATACTCGAAAAAGAATTCGATTCCGAGTGGCAACGTCATGGAGGAATGGAATATGTCAAAACACCCAACAGGAAAAGATAACTAATGAAATTAGTTTGACATTCCTCGAAATATGCTTTAATGGTTTTAATAGTCACAATTAGATTTACACAGAACTTTCATGATTGGTTAAAATGCTTTGTAAAAAAAAACAAAAAAAGTGTATTGTGCGATTTTAGTCACTGCCACTTGTTGCAAAATATTAATTATTTCAATTATTAATTTCAAATGCATATAAACTTATCTATGAAAGACTTGCATACAGTATACCATGCATTTTTATATGGGAACAACATACTTGAGTTTTTGTCACTGTAACAAGACTATTTTCTTTTTTTTATTTTTCTGTTTCATTGTACTATTTTTCTATAATTTTTTTGCATTTTATTTTCATAATTTATCCCTACTTTTGATAAATCATTCCAGTTTGTGGTTATTTGCTCCGCTCGACACTCCATGGCAGCTTTTTATCCTCATCTGAATACAATAGTTACTTCTATAAAGTAATGGTTTACTTTTAATTTAATAACAATTCACCAAAATTATTTGATAACTTAAGAAAACATTTGTTATGGATATAATTTACACATTTATTACAAAGTTAATTTATAAACTTTTATTACAAAATTAATTTTTATACATCTGAAGTTGTGTTTGAGGCAGCTATCATTCAGATGGATTGAATATTGCATCCGCAAGCAGAATCTCTGAATGTTCTCAAACTTCACATTCATCTTGCGAATTACCTAACTATTTTCAAATGAATTCAATTGCAATTAACGTAAATATCTCGTAAAAAGTTTGCATTTTATACAATGTCAAATAATTATACTATTTGACTTGATTTTTCTTTTCTTTGCTATTAATATTGAAAAAGCTTGATTGAATCTGATCGTTCATATTATGTAGAAAATGCTGTGGCTACAGGAATTAGAATTTGTCATACAGATACACATTTTTCTTGTTTATGTTCATTTAGCATGTTTATACAATGGCAATTTTTCGGTTTTTTAGAGTTTTTGCTCCATTTCATAACATCATTCGTGAATATATTTGGTTCTGTTAATTTTATGAATGGTCGTACAAATTTATGTCTGTATTTTTTCAATTTTATTTTATATTTTTACTTACATTCCTTACTTAGTAGAAAGAATCTTATTCGTTCATAAACGAGAAAATTAATTGCCAACAGAAAGACAAAACAACATAATGTATATAGAAATAAGTTCCTTATATAATATGTAACTTTAAGTGTTTTATTATAGGTGACAAAATATTTAAATGTGTTTTAAAATAATTTACTTATTCTTTTATTAATATTACAAGAGTTATTGTATCGTAAATTATTATTATTCTAATTTAATTAGACAATTTGTCACATGTAGTTGAATTGTTTTCTGGAAAACGACTCCTATTCAAATCACAATATACAGAAGAAATGAGATTTGAATTTCAATCTGGCAAAACAGATTTGGCAAATTTTGTTGCCAGATTGGTTAAATATATATTTTTTTTATCCATTCTGTTTTCATTTCTTTAGTTTGAATTTGAAATTTTTGAATTGCATAATTATCTTGGTATAGATAAGACCTGCAATTTGATTTAAAAAATAAGCAAATGTATAACTATGTCCACACGAATGTCACAATAAGGTTATATTTATATTTTAATAAACAAGCATAGGGACAAAAATGGTAAAAATTACTTTCTAGGGATGACTTTTTGAATGAACTATTGCGAATAAAATTACCCTCACCTCGTATCATGTCATCAATAGTAAGGAATATTGTAATAGAGAAGCCCAAGAAAGTAACACAATACAAAAGTTTTAGAATTTTGAGGCTTTAAAGCAGTTTTGGGGGACACAAATATAATGATTTGTTCTTAGTCCTTTGTCAAAGTTCAATTAATGTATAAATAGATTGCAAAAGTTATTTTATTGGATTTATTGCGATGGACAATGGGAGTCATCCACAATGTGATTGAAGATAATTACAGTATTACTTCCCATATTAATTAATTTAGTTTTATTATAATTTTTTTTATTTGGAATTAATTATCATCGGTTAAACCCGATGTAAATACATTAGAAAATTTTAATTCAAAAGAAATAATTTAAAGACTTTCAAGTTTCTGGTGTCAAATTCACACAAAAGTATTTGATGATTTTAAGAAAATGCATTTAATGGATCAATTTTTGGGTTTTTATCAATTAATTTCTTATTTTAAATTTTCTTTCTTCATCAATTTGAAGATTTGTAACTTTATAATTTGATTCTTTGCACATATTGAGTCATATTTACTTCTTATTGATTGCATGATGCCGTTTCTATATATTTCTAGCAATACTGTCATTATGAAAGATCCTCAAATATAAATCTAAGTCAAGTTACTTTTCTCGGAGCAAAAACTTTAATTCTGTGGACCAAATGCCCATCGTTAAGAGATGATTCAGTATCTTCTCTCAATCTTTATTTTGCTCCTTGACTTTTGAAAAGTGCTTGATTGTTCTGCAGTGTGTGTTTTGCTCTGACAAAAATAGTCCAATTTAGATTTAAATTTACAGTTTTTACGCGTTTCCTCTTTTCATAAACCAATTTTTATGGCTAACTAAACATAAATAAAGGAAATTTTATGGGGTAGATAACAAATTTAGATTCAAACAAATATTTTTTTATGGATTATTTTTAATATCAAATCAAAATTTTGTATTGATTAGTAGTGTCAAATTAATCAGTCTTCCGGTATCTGTGATTGTAAATAAGTGGAAAGACTTTTGTTCCTACAAGTGATTTTTTTTTTCATAAAATAATTTCATGGGAATTGCAATTTTAGCTTTTCACTATTAAAAGAAACAAATTAAAATGCCGTCAATCATAAAAGCTAATTACTTTATTATTAAGTAGTCACTCAACATATACATTTTGGTGAATGTTCCTATGGATAATTAGAATTTAACTGTAAAAAAAAAACTTTGTTTAAAATTTAATAATGGATCAAAAACAAGAATTGTTGTTTAGTGACGTGTCAAAATCTTCCATTATTGGTTTCGGATAGGTAAACTTTTGATTTTTCTGTCTTTAATTTTAGAAGCGCTGCAACTTATCTCATATTTGGACATTTAACTTACTGCAATTTACACAAGTTTAATTACCATAACTTGTACTTTTCTATGGTGACATTTTACTCTGTCATGTACCCATCGTTTCATTCGATTCTACACTAAAAATTATTGCGTTTTATAGTTTATATTAATAAGACTTGGTTAAAATAATAGACCCAAAGATAGATAATCAAACATAATTGAATCGATGAGCTTCCATTCGGGTTAAAAGATAGAAATTACAGTTTAATGTGGGACCAACTTAAAAATTCGTATCTACAAGACGTTTTGTCTTCCATTTTGTTAATTAGCTCTCTATACTTTATTTTTCTACCATTTTCCTTTGTTCCTAAACACTTTTGATTATAAAATGCAATTTTGTATTTGTTTGCATAAACAGTTAACAAATAATGGCAAAACAGTTACTGAAATAGTAACGTAAATCATGAATTGCTACACATTTTTCTGCATAACGACGAGACAAAAGTCATTTAACATATGATAAATGTATTATTTAGCATTCTACTTTATGCATTTGTTTGTTTATAGCATAAAAAATGTGCATTTTTATAGAATTATTAGATTTATTTTGTGTGTATGCACGGCAATATTTGTATCCATTTTTTTTTTTCTGTGTTTTTATGAATATTTTGTTAAGTCAAATGACAAGCGGCAATTCGAATTGTTTTGATGTATGCATCGTTCCTGAAATTTACTAGCTTAGATGATAATATATTAATTTGTGTAAGGAATCTTCTCTTCTAATTATGTTCCTGTGACATACAGATTAGCCAATGTCATTTCTTTTCCGGAGCTGTGGCCTATTCCGGTCGCGGCATCTTTCTGTACTTCCGTCGCAAATGCTCCTTCTTTTGCTTTTGTTGGAACTAATTTCGTCAAAAGAATTCGTTGATTTATTTGGACAAGAAGTCCAAACTCGTCTAATTTGTGTGCTTAGTTTTAAGGACCGGTGGCAGTACTATCAAAAAACCTACACCGGTCTGTTTAGTTTGCAAGCAAGCGAATCGAGTAGCATGAAAGATACTATCCTACTGTGATTTATTAAAATTATGTGAATATGATTATTGTTAAATTTTATAGAAAATAAGAAAGGTTTAGTATATTTGTAGACAATGAAAGTATATTTTGCACATAAATTTTTTTTAATATATATATTTATATAATTAAGATGTATTTTTGGAAGAGGTGTATCTTAGAATTTTTCAATAAAGATTTCTATATTTTCATGCTGTTATGATTCTATTTTTGCAGTTCGGAAAGCCACGCTGCATTTACATTGTCTTATGTTACAGAACGACAATCCAAATCACAGCACAGAATCAAAAACAAGGGAGAGGTATGTATATACTTCAATTGATCTCAAACTCAATTTTGAGAATCATTAGTAATTGGCCCTAGTGCATACATAATACATTTACATTTTTGTTGTTGTACACTTGGTTTGTTTGTGTTGCTACAAGTTGAAACTTTAAATACACAAATACTGCATTAAATGACATGCAATAATATGATAGAAGGGCTGTTGAAGTTAAGAGACTTGCTAGCTTCAATACGCTGTATAAGACAAAGATAACTTGAATTCTGTCTTCAAGTGAATTGAGAAGAAAGGAGAAATCTGTAGGTTGCTAGCAACATTCTCAAGTCTTAGTCTGCTGGTCCATTTGAGAAACCACGTGAGGATCTGCTTCTATGATAATCTAAAGCTAAGGAAATCTATTTTTGTACTGTTGGTAGCTAGCATGGCTACTTGTTACGTGGCTGGTCAAAAAGTCCTTGGAGTTGTGGTATAGCACTATAAATTAATGGTAGGACTATGGAAACACTTACCTAATTACCTTGAGAGTGCACATGTACACACTTGCCCTGTTGATCTTGCCATTGTTGGAAACACAATTGGAAGGCTTCTTTTGGAATTTCACAATTGGAATTTGACTGTCACATTTGATTTGATATTCTATGTGGTTGTAAAATGCATTCTTTTGAGACCTATTTTCAGCAAACAGAACAGCCAAAATTCACACAGAGCAAGATATCGCAAGTATGGCAGTCGGAAAGTCTTTTTGTCGGCAAGGAATTGCTCTACAATGAGTGACTCTGTGCATTATTGGAGGAAATGGCATGAGTGGCGTGAGAGTGGTTACTCGTGCCCATTTCCTCTGAATTGCATCTTGCAACCCACACAAAACTTGACAGAAATCTCGAGGAACACTGTTCAGATGGTACAAACACATAAATGGTCCGGGAGGTCTTTACTTCCCAGACAAAATGGTCAAATTTCTGAATACAGTTGTCCCTCGATAATCCGACAGGTATGGGACCAAAGGTGTGTCGGATTACCAAAAGTGTCCGGATTACCGAAAATAATTACATATTTTGCATTGTTTTGCTAGCAGTAACTTACAATATTCTCTACTCCAACTGTTTGAACAGAACTGCTCACATAAAACACACGAAATGTGTGTCATTGAGTAAGAATTGGATGGGGAGATTCACATCACGACATGCTTCTGTGCAAGCAGACACGTAACGGGGACGGGTACCTTGACGGGAGGTGCGTCGGACTACTGAGCATGTCGGATTAAAAAACGTCGGACTATCGAGGGACAACTGTATTCCAAAAGAAGCCTTCTAATGGTGCTTCAAACAGTGGCAGGATCAATGGCCCAAGTGTGAATGTCTGTATCAAAGGGTCCTACTTTGAAGGCAATTAGGTAGGCATTTCCATACCAATTTATATCATTGCAGTGTCATACCACATTTCTGAGAACTTTTTGAATGCCTGTGTATATCATTCCCCTAACAAAGAGGGGACTACCCTGCCATTCTACGTATCCTTAGATTATACAGTCTCCAAATACTTCAAATTCTCATCTAAGGATTTATTTGTATTTACAAAGAAACTGAGAGAACAAACTCCTAACTTGTTACTTTTATAAACTAATGTGACAGTGAACAATACTATCACTATCATGTGGTCATGGTAATCACATGACAGCAACGATTGTTATAAGCAACATGATCAACAAATCCTTTTATAGATGTGTTGCTAACAACTCATTATTACATTGATAACTGTCAGTTAAGCAACATTATTGATGCTTACAGTAAGCATAAAAAACATTACTTCTTAATAAGAAGGCAAATTAAGCAATACAAAACAATCTTATACATTGTTACATTTTGTACTAACGAAAGAAGCGTTGCAAAGACAATCGCTACATTTTTCTGCTTGGAGATGGTACTTTAACGATAACATATTTCTCCAAGGTCAGGATGCCAATGTTCTTTATGGAGCCGCCACATTGGTTTCTTAGTCACATGCTCCGTACGTGTTATAAACTGCACATTTCTTTGAGTTCGGGCCAAAAAATTCCTTTTATAATTTCAAATAGAGTATCTCTTCATTTAGAGGTTATTCCAACAAACACCGTCATCATTCCAACTTCCCCTAAAGTTGAGAATGGAGTTAGACAGACAACCGGCATGACTCTATTGTTAAATGAAAAGCATGACGTACGGGTGCAAGCCACTACTAATTTGAGGTGTAGAGCATATATTTTAAATTAAATAAATTAAAAATTGCAGCCCCAGCTTGTGACCTTGTCACAATAAATAAATGCTCGTTTAAACGGTTAATTAAAACCATTTTAATGATGCATACTAGAATAGGTATTAAACATTAAAGCAGTTCATATACTAGATTTTTTTATATTTAATATATTCAAGCAATCTTGTATGGCTGCTGCTCCTGATAAAGGAAAACGTCAACTAGAAGAGAAAAATAATTTTCTGTAGTCTACTAAGCAAGTAATCTTCACAAATAATAACAACGAACAATTATTTATTGTGACATGGTCACAATGCCAGACTTAATTTAATTTAATTATTAAATCTAATAAGAGATGACGTTTAACGTCTACTTCTAATACCAAATTACTTAGTTTATTTGCTATTATTAATAATAGCAAATTTATAGCCCGATTAATTACAGCGATCGTTTGGTTGAGTGTGTGTTTTTTTCGGGTTTAAAATTTCTGCAGCAAGTTTTTCATTACTACCATCATTTGTATCAGCAGTTGCAGGTTCTTCTGCTTCATCACAACCCACCGAAGCCGTAAATTAAATTTAATCGGGCAAAACTACAGACAATTTTACAAGTGAAAGGAACAAATATGGCCACTGCTGCAATGCATCATGGTATCATGGCCAGACCTTGTTTCGAAAATAGAGTCGGTCCGGTCAGACCTTGTTTCACCGGACCGACTCTATTTTCGGAATAAATTTTAATGTAAGAAACTTGTAAGTTTTTGTATTCCAAACGTATTATTAGGACGCAATGGATTAACACGCAGTTCACCGTTTGATGACGCCAATTTTGTTAATTAATCTGGAGTAAAACGTTGCCATAAATTTTCCTAGATAAAGGGAATTTTAAAGTAAAACATGGTGTAAGAGTACAGATGGTAAAATGCTCGTTAATTAAATGTGTCCTTAATAAACGGTTGTATTATGTGCGCACCTGACGGCAGTTTCCATTATTTCGAATGGGAAAAATTGTTTCGGAGTTCGAATGACCTCGTGTAACGAATTAATTCGAAGTTCGAAGACGTGACTTGCTTCCACGATCCGGAAAATTCGCCGCTTCTGATGTCACTCGTGAGGTACTTCTATAGAACCAGTAAATGTTTCGTCTACCCCGCTACGAACTATTGCTCGGTAGTCTATTTTGTAAAATGATGGCCATGATGACGACGACTTGCATCAGCAAATGGAAGCAGCCAAAAGGCTTATTTTCCATCCAAGAGAATGGCGTAAAGTGACGTCGAGTCGATGACTGGCAATCGTGGTCATCAAGCGGGCGACGATCGAACTAATTTGCTTCGTCCAGTTTGCTTTTCTATTGCCTAGTTTGCGGGGTATTTGGAGACAGGAGCTCTCGATTAACTATATACGAACTTCCGATGCAAACTGGAAGTCACGTTATTTCAATTCAAACCCCACCCGAAATGTGTTAGATCAGTGTTTCTCAATCTCTAACGAATCGTCGCCCCCTTCAATAAAACCGTTACGTAGTATTGCCCCCTTCACTACAAAATTAAAAAATGCTGAGGGACAAGGCTAACGCCAAATTCGTACTGCGTTGAATAGACTAGTGACTAGTATAATGTTGTTTGTTTAATTATTGTACGATATAACGAATAAAATATCTAATTATTCTTAATATAATGTTTTACTATATCGCTCAGAAAATTGTTTTTCGCCCNAGGAAAACGTCAACTAGAAGAGAAAAATAATTTTCTGTAGTCTACTAAGCAAGTAATCTTCACAAATAATAACAACGAACAATTATTTATTGTGACATGGTCACAATGCCAGACTTAATTTAATTTAATTATTAAATCTAATAAGAGATGACGTTTAACGTCTACTTCTAATACCAAATTACTTAGTTTATTTGCTATTATTAATAATAGCAAATTTATAGCCCGATTAATTACAGCGATCGTTTGGTTGAGTGTGTGTTTTTTTCGGGTTTAAAATTTCTGCAGCAAGTTTTTCATTACTACCATCATTTGTATCAGCAGTTGCAGGTTCTTCTGCTTCATCACAACCCACCGAAGCCGTAAATTAAATTTAATCGGGCAAAACTACAGACAATTTTACAAGTGAAAGGAACAAATATGGCCACTGCTGCAATGCATCATGGTATCATGGCCAGACCTTGTTTCGAAAATAGAGTCGGTCCGGTCAGACCTTGTTTCACCGGACCGACTCTATTTTCGGAATAAATTTTAATGTAAGAAACTTGTAAGTTTTTGTATTCCAAACGTATTATTAGGACGCAATGGATTAACACGCAGTTCACCGTTTGATGACGCCAATTTTGTTAATTAATCTGGAGTAAAACGTTGCCATAAATTTTCCTAGATAAAGGGAATTTTAAAGTAAAACATGGTGTAAGAGTACAGATGGTAAAATGCTCGTTAATTAAATGTGTCCTTAATAAA